TTGGTCGCGAGTCGCGGTCACTGGCAGCTTCCGGCGACTTCGGGCAGCGGCGATGGTTTTCTGGCGGTGATCGACGACGGCGATGGGCGGTGATCGGCTGAGGAGGTAACCAGAAAATATATATGTATAAAGGCTCAACTATATTGTACCAAAATGCCTTCTAATGGATTACCTAAACACCTATTTCGAATAAACTTGATGGAGCGTTTACTCGAATCTCCCTAACTCTCGAACAATTCTATTTCTCACGTACGTAGGGGTGAAAAATCGACCAACATAAACCTGTAGTAGAGATTGGGACATGGTGTATGTATAGGCTCCATTAGGAACCTTAAGGAGGTGCTAAATATGAGCTTATCCCATTAGGCCTAGGAACCCTAATTCTACTCCAAATATTAATCCAATGTCCGAAAGAAATCTCTTACTAATTTAACACTTCTAGAAGACTCCTGTATCCTAACACTAGTGAAGATTCTAGTAGGAATACTTTTCCTAATTAAATTAATAATCATGGAATAAAATTAATTCATAATTTAGGAAACCTAATTCTACTCCAATTAATATTCTAATATAGGAAATATTTCTTCTACTAATCTTCATATTCTAGAAGACTCCTTAGTCTACTAATCCCTAGAGAAGATTCTAGTAGGAATATTATCTTCCTAATTAAATTAATTAATTTGGAATAAAATTAATTTCTATTTAAATGGAATTAAATAATAAAACATCCCACTAGAGTAGTATTATTGCTCTCCCCATTTAGCCACTATTTTACCAATAAAATCGGTCCTCCATGATTAAATAATATTAATCCGATTGATCGATTTACCTCCCTATGTTTAAGATATAACGTCCGTTGATTAATTAAATTGCTGATAAAATAATTAATCAACTTCTTAGTCATTTTCGAAATTAGTACCACTCAGAACCTTAACCATTATGTCGGACAATCGTCTACCTGCAAGGTTTAACATAATGTACATTCCTGAGCTCATTTCGGGGACGTCATCAATCCATCGCACTGGAACATAGTGACCATAAATAATTCATAATAGCACATCATATAATTATTCTTACTTACCAAAATACCTCGTATGTCATCCTAATAAAATAGGAATCACTTGGTAAATCAAATAAACAAGAGATAAATATATATACTTATTTGATATTATCTGACAGCTTAAGAGAACGCATCACACTGAAGGTCTAGGTTACAACAACGATCAGTGAGTCTCATAACCATATCCTTCTGTGGTCATGTTCAACATTTAACATAAGTGATAGTGTAATTCTTCCGTCA